GCCTCAGCCTCCCGAGTAGCTGGGACTACAGGCGCCCGCCACCACGCCCGGCTAATTTTTTGTATTTTTAGCAGAGACGGGGTTTCACAGTGTTAGCCAGGATGGTCTCGATCTCCTGACCTCGTGATCCGCCCGTCTCGGCCTCCCAAAATGCTGGGATTACAGGTGTGAGCCACCACGCCCGGCCTACAAGCCTATTTTGAATCAAAGCTAGGGGCTCCCTTCTGCAGATGCAGACAAGTCCAGGGCTCTGTTCTTGGAGAGTTTAGTCTCATGAAGGAAGAGAGACAGTAAACAAGCACTTACCAGACAATGTGGCCTTCCTCCAGACAGAGGGAAGCAGGGTGCTCAGGGGTGCACAGAAGAACCTCCCCACTCCCCCTCTCCAAGAATGTTTCATGTGGTGTGGAGATGGAGGAGTGTTTTGTTTTGTTTTGTTTTGTTTTGTTTTGTTTTGTTTTGTTTGAGACAGGGTCTCGCGCTGTTGCTCAGGCTGGAGTTCAGTGGTGTGATCTCAATTCACTGCAGCCTCAACCTCCTGGGCAGCAATCCTCCCACTTCAGCCTCCCAAGTAGCTGGGACTACAGGCATGCACCACCACACCCAGCTAATTTTGGTACTTTTTTTGTAGAGATGGGGTTTCGCCATGGCCCAGGCTGGTCTCAAACTCCTGGGCTCAAGCGATCTGCCTACGTTGGCCTCCCGATGTGCTGAAATTACAGGCATGAGCCACCATGCCCAGCTGGAAGGATGTTTCAAGCATAAAGAACAGCAGGTGCCATCTCTAGGAAGCCAAGAAGGCATAACGAGCTGTAGGTGCTAGAGTAAGTTTGGTCAGGAGAAGGATAGGGAGTGGTTGAGAAGGTTTGAGAGACAGTTGGGATGGGCTGGGTTCTGAGGACTGTGAACCTAGATCCAAGGAGGAATTTAAAGTCCTCCACTTCCTGAAAAGACCCTCCTTTCAGGAAGAGAATGGCTGTCCTGTGGGGATGGGAGGCCAAGGAAGGAGGTTATCCCATGAGGACAATTGGGAGGGGGTGGTGGTGCTGAAGACAAGGTGACCATCTGTGAGGGAGACGAAGACTCCTTCCCCTCTATCGCAGACCCTACAGGCAACTTAAGGTTAATAACTGCCTGAAATAAGGTGAACGTGAGCACAGATCCCCACCCCCAATCCCCTAGGATGGGGACCAGAGAGGTGGCACAGTTTGATGGTAATGATGTAGTGATGATGGATTGCACTTTCCCCTGGGCGAGGTCTCCTGAACAAGGGTGAGAGTACACCCTCCCATACCTTCCCTTGCCCTTACCCAGCTCCCATGGAACACACTGATGGGAAACAGAGGCATGAGGCTTTCCCAGCTCATCATGTGTTTGTGCTGTCACATTTCCTT